TCTTTGTTTTTTACCACTGAGTAATACTCCATTGTGTAAATGTACCACATTTTCTTTATCCGTTCCTTGGGTGAGGGGCATCTAGGTTGGTTGTTTCTAGCTTCTGGCTATAACGAATAATTCCACTATGAACACAGTTGAGCAAATGTCCTTGTGTTTGATTGTGCATCCTTTGGGTATATGCTCAAGAGTGCAATGGCTGGTTCTTGTGATAAGTTGATTCCCAACTTTCTGAGAAACCACCATACTGTTCTAACGTGTCTGTATAAGAAGCACTACCAACAGCAGTGGAGGAGTGTTCCACTTACACTTCATTCTCTCCAGCATAACCTAACATCAGTTTTTTTTTTTAAATCTTATCCATTCTGACTGGTATAAGATGGTATCTCAGAGTTGTTTTGATTTGCATTTCCCTGATGGCTAAGGCTGTTGAGCAGTTCTTTAAATGTTTTTCAGGCAATTGAGTTCTTTCTGTTGAGAATTCTCTGTTTAGATCTGTGCTCCATTTTCAATAGGATTATTTGTTATTTTGATGCCAAGTTTCTTGAGTTCTTTCTATATTTTGGAGATCAACCCTCTGTCAGATGTGGGGTTGGTGAAGATCTTTTCCCATTCTGTAGGCTGCCATTTTGTCTTATTTACCATGTTGTTTGCCTTACAGAAACTTCTCAGTTTCAGGAGGTCACATTTATTAATCATTGCTCTCAATGTCTGTACTACTAGTGTTACACTTAGGAAGTGGTCTCCTGTGCCCATGCAATGAAGGCTACTTCCTACTTTCTTTTCTATCAAGTTCAGTGTAACTGGATTTATGGTGAGATCTTTGATACACTTGGACTTGAGTTTTGTGCATGGGTTTCTCTGAAGCTTTGAAACCTGTCATGGAACTTGCTCTGTAAACTAAGCTAGCCTTGAACTCTGAGAGATATGCATGCCTCTGCCTCACAAGTGCTGGGATTAAGAGTCTGCGTCACCACTGCATGGCACAAAGTACCTATTGAAAGAACTCAGCTTTGGTGACTATATTCTCTGTCTACCAAACACAATTAGCTCTTCAGAGAACACCATTCCCTCTAGACCTAGAAACTGAGGATTAATGGGAAAGACATTGCCATTAATGGAGAACCTTGAAGAGTGGGGGATGAGCCAAATCATGCCTTCATCCCAGCACTCTGGGAGGCAGAGGCAGAGGAAGGAAGATTTCTTTAGGACAAGGCCAACCTGGTCTACAGAGTGAGTTCCAGGACAGTCAGGAGTACTACACCAAGAAATCCTATCTGGAAAAAAAAGAAAGATGAAACCAGCATGAAATACATAGTGGGGAGGGAGGACAGAATAGGCAAGGAGGGTGGAGAGATGAGACGGGGAAGGAGGGTAGGGGTGCAGGTAAGGAAAGTGAAGACAGAGAGGTGGGAGGGAAGAGAAGAGAGGAAGAGGCAGTGTCACATGGGCACTAGAGAAATATCTTGGCCCTAAAATTACTGAACGCAAAGTTCTTCTGCTGTGTGCTCATTACAGAAAGTGGGATAGATGAAACCTAAGTGGACTGACAGTAAATGACCTGAAGGCAGGATTACATCCTGGTGTATTCCCAGTCTTCACTGTGCCTAATTGTCCCACTAAAGTACACAGTGACCTAACTTTTTGCAACAAACAAAAAGAACACATTGTCTTCTCTACCTTTCTCTACCATGGGACCCCACGGGTGAAGCCAGGTTCATCTCTGGTTCCCTGGTCAAGCAGATTTAGGAAGAAATTTCTCATTGCCTGGTTAAAGGCTACGTGGTTCTCAGTCTCCTTTTCCTTTAGTGACTAGCTGCCCAGTCATCTGCTCTTCTGCCTTCAGCCCCATGTTTACTCCTGTTCCAAAGCTCAGGCCTCACCCCTCCAAGGTCAGGCCTGGTGAGCAACAGGTGCAGCTAGAGGCCCCCTGACAAGGTGCAGAGTCTGGTGGTAGCTGGTAGTGGCCTCCATAGTCCCGCTGGAAAGGTAGAAGCTTGAGTGTGGAGACAACCAACTCACCTTAGCCCTACATGACTTTTATCCATGGAAGTGGGGATCAGTGGGAGAAAGGAGGTGCAAAGCTCCTACATAAGACATGGCCAAACCCAAGGGCCAGAAGACATTGTTCAACAGCTACCATGTGGTTGTTGAGACTTGAACTCCAGTCCTCAGCAAGAGCAGAAGCACTCTTGAGTGTTGAGCCATCTCACAAGTCCCTATAGCTTCACACACTGGGTAGGGAGAGCCTCAGCTGAAGGATGGTCTGCTTCATATTGACCTGGGGGCACATCTCTTCTGCATTTGCTTTCTTTCTGTTTTAATTATTTATTTTGGTTTTTGGTTTTTAGAGACAGGGTTTCTTTGTGTTTCTCTGGCTGAACTGAAATTCACTATAGAGTGAATTCCAGGCTTTCATGTAACTCAAATATTTTCCTGCCTCTGCCTCCTGAGTGCTGATATTAAAGGCATGTACTACCATCACCATCTGGCTACTTTCCCAGAGTAAATGGAGTTTGTGGGCTGCTACAATGGCTCAGCCAGGGCAGGTGTCAGCCTGGTGTTCTAACTTTGATTTTAGGAACCCACGTAAAGGTGGAGGGACCTGACATCACAGAGTTGTCCTCTGACCTTCATATGTGTGTGAGCACATGCGCACAAACACACAAAAACTAATTAATAATTTAGTTAGTGAATTAAAGATCAAGTTTGCAACTAGATCAACCTCAAAGGCTGTGTCAGCCGTTGGAACAGACTTATCACTTAGTTTATCCAGTTAACATGGAGGATTGTTGGGTCCAGCTACTCCTGCTAAGACCATATGTCACCATCAGCATCCCTCAGACCCAACCCCAGGAGCAATGTCTATATCTCCTTATGACCTCAAAGCTTCCACAGGGGAGGGACTTGGCACTTTGCCAGTCACTGCACTGAGGCTGGTGTGGGGTGTTGAGTCAGCCCTTTATCTGTGCCTCTGCGACAGCACTGATTCAGGCTCTGCCACCATCTACAGCAGCTCTGCTGGTCAGGACTGTCTGTGAGGGTGGACATATTCTACTTCTGTGCTACTCACACGGTAGTCACAGGCCCTGCCTGCTGACTGGACCCTGTCAGAGCACAGCTACAGGACTGTAAAGAGTGAAGTCATTTGTGTCCTCCTATCACTCGAGATGGAACTCCCTCTGCTGTTTGTTCTGCTCACAGGTAGGACCCCTGTCCTTTCCGAGTGCCCCCATCTGTCTTCTCTTCAAGTGCAAGCTCCCACTTGTCACACCTGAAGTTTTGGTTTCCTGTTCCTATTGGGGTCTAATAGCCCCTAGGTTGGGGTTCCCTCCTCACCCTCATGTCCTCAACAGCTGGCACATTGACCTTAGAGGACTCCTTAGAAAAGTCCACTGCAGCCAGGAGTTGGTGGCATTTGCCTTTAATCCCAGCATTTCAGAAACAAAGGAATGCGGATCCCTGTGAGTTCAGTGCCAGCCTGGTCTACAGAGTGAGTTCCAGGACAGCCAGGTCATGCTGAGATGTGCAGACTCAAGTCCACTGCATTCACTTGCACAAGCTAAGAAAGTCCCTCTGCCTGTGCCGTATTTCCCTGGCACCAATTTACCTGGCCCTAACGTGCCACGGCAATTTGATTTTTTCTTATCATTTAAAAAAAATATTTATTTTTATTTTATGTGTATGAGTGTTTTGCCTGCATGTCTATCTGTGAACTGTATATGAGCAGTGTTTACAGGGGCCAGAGGAAGGTTGTGAGAACTGAGCTCATAGACAATTGTGAGCTGCCACGTGGGTGCTGGAACCAGAGCCTGGGTCCTTCCTACACAAGTTCAGCAAGTGCTCCTGGCTGCAGAGCCATCTCTCCAGCCCTTACTGTTATTTTATATGACCTTAACATGTGGATCAGGATTCCTCCAGCTCAACACTATTGCCCGCACTTGAAACCTTCCTGCCCACACCTTCAAACCGTTAGAGTTAAATAGGTGCCTGACGCTGCCTCCAGATTGCTGGGATTACAGTGTGTGCTCATCTGTACACTTCATTTTAATGGGTACCAAGGATCCCACTGCACACTGAATCCCTTCTCATTTACCTGCTCCTCAGCTGATGAGCAGTTTGTTATGTCTTGTGCTGACATTACATATAGTGATCTGACCATTAGCCTTGTGTATGAGCTGTGCGTGGTCGGACAACAGATTCCTTCTGAGTCTCCAGTGTGAAACAATAGCAGGTGTTGGCTGCTTCTCTGGCTCAAGGTCTCAGCTAGAACTGTGATGAATCCCACTGCTGGCTGAGGCCGGTTTCACCTGGGCTTGAGTAAAAGTGGGGCAGTTCTCAAACTCAAGAGATGGCTGGATTGCTGGGTAATTGCCTGCTGACTGCAGAGTGTTCTTAGCTCCTCAACACAGGGACCACAGGGAAGCTCACAGTGTGGCCACTGTCGCCCTTACAGTCAGAAAATGAGAAGGCAAGCAAGGCAAAAGGCAATGTGTTTAGAACTTAGTCTTGGAGCATCAGCCCAGCCCAGTACAGTGGTGCACATTTATAATACTAACAGTTGGGACACTGAGGCCACAGGGATGCCACAGAGTCTGAAGGTAGCCTGAGTTACAGGGCAACTCCTTGTCTTAAAAAGTTAGACACCTTCCTGCTTAGGCCTGGTGACTTGAGTTTGGTCTCCAAGACCTGCATAGTGGAAGGAGAAAAGCAACTCCCTAAAGCTGTCCTCTGACCTCCTCTTGTGTAGTGTCACATTGTTGAGTGCTCCCAAGTGTGTGCTTGCCACCCTGTGTGCAGGCCAGCACACACACGTGCACAAAAACACACCACACACACACACACATACACACACACACACACACACACACACACACACACACACACACACACCCCTGCCTCTATTCACCACTCTCCGGACGCAGCAGCTGGGAGGAGTCAAGGAGGAAGCTGGCAGGCAGGCATCAGACCCCGGGTAGAGCCAAGTGGGGTTTACTGGAATGTGCTGTGCGTTTCTTACAGCAGGGGCTACTGCACACAGCATCAGCCGTCGGGCTGTGAAGAGGTTTGGAAATGCCTTTGAATGTAATCCCAAGAGTGATTTAGAGACACTGGTGCATGAACCCGAGAAAAATTTCTTTTCGAGGACCATTCATCCCTTGTCGGTGTACAGAGCATTTGGCTGCTTATGTCCCGGACTCCTAAGAATCAGCCCTCATGAGATTCATAAATTCAGGTGAGTGATCCACCTGGTGGGGACTGGATCATCTGCACTGGGATGGGGAAAGGACACAAACACAGCCTCTCATGAGGTATGAACAGGAAGTCAGCATATTCAACAAACATCGTGTTTTGTTGGTTTATTTATTATGTATTGTTTCTTTCCCAACAGCAGTTTTCTGTGTAGCCCCAGGTGTCCTGAAACTCTCTCTAGAGACCAATCTGGCTTTGAACTCAGAGATCTCCCTGCCTCTGCCTCATGAATGCTCAGATTAAAGGCCTGCATCACCACTCAGCATGTATATTCAAGAAGTGTCTTGTCATATAAAGAAATTGGTCCAGAAGGGCCCTGTGTCTAGAGGTCCCTGAAAGCAGAACTGTGAGATATAAAGAGTGGGCCTCGCTGTCCTCAGGCTCCAGACCAGGGCACGGCCACCACAGCCACCATCAAAGTGTCAGCCTCGGCTTTAAAAGGTCATCGAATCTTGAGAATTTATAATTTCACTATATTCCTGCAGCTTTGTTTAAAAATCATTTTTTGAGCCGGGCGGTGGTGGTGCACACCTTTAATCCCAGCACTCGGGAGGCAGAGGCAGGCGGATCTCTGTGAGTTTGAGGCCAGCCTGGTCTACAAGAGCTAGTTCCAGGACAGGAACCAAAAGCTACATAGAAACCCTGTCTCAAAAAAAAAATCATTTTTCCCAGCACTTGGGAGGCAGAGACAGGCGGATCTCTGTGAGTTCAAGGCCAGTCTGGTCTACAAGAGCTAGTTCCAGGACAGGAACCAAAAAGCTACGGAGAAACCCTGTCTCAAAAAATCAAAAAAAATCATTTTTGAGACAGCATCTACTCTTGTATCCTTGACTTTTCTCAAACTCAGAGAACCAACTGCCACTGTCTCCCAAGTACTGGAATGAAAGACAGAAAGAAACCACACACAAGTTGCTTTCAATAAATATGTGCTAATGGAAATCAGAGATTATCAAGCCTCGGGACCATTTCTTCTGGATCATTGTGTTGTTTAAATTATCCTGAGATGTTTGAGAGAGACTGCAAGTGAGAACTGACCTCCTGTGGGTCCTCACTCAGCCTCGGCTGTTCCTTCCTCTCCCCAGGTGCTGCGAGAATCATAAAAGGTGCTATGAAGAGGCGAAGAAGCTTGGAGACTGTAAAATTTACGAAGACAACCGCTATGACATTCCCTATTATTACTTCTGCTCTGGGAGGAAGCTCATCTGCAGGGGTAGGGTTACCTCCGGGAACTCTGGATTCTCCTTGGCCCTGGGCATGTTTTGAAGGGGCATGGAAGTAACAAGGACAGTCAACATTTAGCGATCATTACTTTCATCTCATTTGAATCACCACAACTTTATTATGTAGATACTTAAATTTAGATGAGGATATTGATGAGAAAGATGAGGAAGACTTGGCCACTTGCCCAAGGGTACCAAGTTTAGAAGTAATGGTTTTTAGTTCTGGAAAACAGGTCTACATCATTCCAATGCTTTTTTAAAGAACATTTAAAGATTTTATATATTGGGAGGCATGCCTGTGCCAAACACAGGTGTGGAGGCTGAGGACAACAAGCAGGAGTCTGTTTTCCTTCTGCTATGTGAGCTCTGGAGCCGGAACTTGTGTTCAGACTTGGCAGCGAGTACCTTTCTCCCCTGAGCCATCTTGCCTGCCCAGAGTCTCTCCATTTAGCTGCTGGGTTATACTGATTCCATATTTACTAAACAACTGAAAGCTACATCATGAGCTACAAGACAAACACTGGACTAAATGCCTACGCTGGGCAAGATTTTTCATTCCCACTTACAGGAGAGGTTCAGAGGGCTGAGAATGCAGCTCAGCTGCTGGAGTGCTTGCCCAGCATGCACAGAGCCCTGGATCCATCCCCAGAACCCATACATTGAGTGTGGTGGTTCACATCAGCAATCCCAGCACTTGGGAGGCAGAGGTAGGAGGATTGTCTTAAATTGTGTAATTTTAGAAGTGGGTGTTCATATTTGTCGTTCTCCTGGCTTTAGGATTAAATATCCATGATTATTTATTTTCCTGTATAGGAATGAGTTGGCATCCCCTGTCTTCTTAAGTCACTCTCTACCGTGTCTTTAGAGGCTGGGGCTCTCACTGAACAGAACGCTCACCTTTAGCTACGCTGACTGTCAAACAAGTTTTGAGGATCCATGCTCCCCACTTCCCAATAGAGTTCCAGATGCCCCAACCACACCTTGAATCTTGCATGGGTGCTGGGCATCCTAGGTCAGGCCCTCATGCTTGTATGGCAACTGCTTTGCCAATGGTGCCATCTCCCCAGCTCCACAATAAATATTTTTTTTTGTTTTTTCAAGACAGGCTTTCTCTGTGTAACAGTCCTGGCTTACTGAGATTATATCTTTAACCAGGTTGGCCTTGAATTCACTGAAATCCACCTAACTCTGCCTTCCAAGTGCTGGGATGATTTTTTTTTTATTATAAATGTGTTTCAACAATTTGGCCGAACCGATATATTTAGTTTGCTTTGTCTCTCAAGCCTAAGTCTACACCTATGGGAGGGCCACCAGCTCCTTTTGCCTACAAACGGCAGCGAGCAGGGTCATAGCTCCACTCAACTCCCTTTCTTGATTCTCTGCAGATAAAAACAATGCCTGTCAGGATGCCATCTGCAACTGTGACCGCAACGCTGCCATCTGCATCTTCAGGAAACTCTCTGACTCGACGTTCAAAGGCTTTGGCGACAACACCTTCTGTTAGACTTCTCACCTCACTTACTGCCTACACCTCCGCTGCCTGACAGGTTGTGTTCACTACACACTGTGCCTTCCAATAAAGCACCTATAGAAAGAGCTAAGCATTGGTGATGGTTTTCTCTGTCTACCAAACATAAATAGATCCTCAGAGAACATCATTCACCTAGCCCTGGAAACTGAAGGTTAACAGGAAAGACATTGTCATTAGCGGAGCACCCTGAAGAGTGGGTTGCTGTGGGACAATGGTCTTGTACTGTGTAAAGATTTGTCACTTGAATTGGTTTGATAAACGCTGACTGGCCAGTAGCCAGGCAGAAAGTATAGGCAGCGTAGCCAGAATAGGAGGATTCTGGAAAGAGGAAAAGCTCAGTCTACAGTTGTCACAGACAAATCAAAAGAAGGCAAAATGCGAATGTCTCACTGATAAAGGTACCACGCAATGTGGCTAACACAGACAGCAATTATGGGTTAATGTAAGATGTAAGAATTCGTTAATAAGAAAGGCTGACTAATAGGTCAACCAGTTTATAGTTAATGTAGGCCTCTGTGTGTTTCTTTGGGACTGAATGACTACAGGACAGGATGGGACAGAAACCTCTGTCAACAGTGGGTGATTAGCCCAGCCATGCCTCTTATCCCAGCACTCTGGGGTAGAGAGGCAGAGGCAGAGACAGGCAGATCTCTAGAGTTCAAGGACAACCAAGGATTAAAAATCAAGTTACAGGACAGCAAGGAACATTACAAAAAGAAACCCTGTCTGAAACAAAAGAAGGAGGAGAGGAGGAAGAAAAAGAAGAGGAGGAGGAGAAGTAGCCAGCATGAGATACAAATGGGGTAGGGGTGAAGACACAGAAAAGGGAAAGGAGAGGGGAGAGATGAGGCAGGAAAAGGTACAGGAGAGGAGGGGAGGGGAGGTGTTGGGAGGGAAAGAAAGAGAAGCAGAGAGAAGGGAGGGGAGAGAGGAAGAAGCAGTGTCACATGGGCACTAAAGGCCACACCTTGGCCCTAAAATGTGGGACTCAAAGAGCATCTGCTGTGTGCTCATTCTAGGAAGTGAGATATAGGAAAGCAAACTGGACTGACTGTAAATGGCCTGAAGGCAGGATGACATCCTGGTGGGCTTCCAGTCTTCACTGTGCCTAAACACACACCACAGGGTAATTGTCCCCCTAAAGTACATGGCAGCCTTTGTGCTACAAAGAAAACATAGCACGTCTTCTCCTGTCCATTTCTCTATCACAGGACCCCACAGGTATAGACAGGCTAATCCCTGGTTCCCTGGTTAACTGTAATTAGCAGTAAAATGTCTAATTGGTGGTGTAGGCTACATGGTTCTCAGTCTCTCTTTTCATTTAATGGACAGCTGCCCAGTCCTCTGCCTTTCTACCCCCAAAGCCATCCCCGCTCCTGTCCCACCTAAAGTTCAGGCCTTGCCCTGCCCAAGACAGGTCTGGGGAGCAGCAGGTGCAGCTTGAGCTGCCTACACAGACGCAGTGACCTAAGTTCAATTCCCAGCACTACACGTCAGCCCACAGCCATCTAGAATGGGATATGATGCTCTCTTCTGGTGTGCAGATGTACGTGCAGACAACACACACACACATTTGCAACCCCATAACTTGGGAGGCAGAGGCAGGATGATCAGGAGTTCAAAGTCATTCTCAGATATGTAATGAGTTAGAAACAAACCTAGACCACAAAAGACTTTGTCTCTCAACTGGCCTAAATTAATTAATTCATCAATTATTTGAGATCTACCACCTTTAATCCCAGCACTCAGGAGGCAGAGGCAGGTGGATTTCTGTAAATTTGTAGTAAGCCTGATCTTTAGAGTGAGTTCCAGGGCTTTAGGAAATACCAAGTTTTTCTTGGGAGAAATTAGTTTGTTTGTTTCTGTATTTATTTTTAGAATTCCACCTCAGTACAGAATACAAAGAAAACAGGTGAGCCCTTGTCTCTAAGAAAAAAGGGGTTGAGTAGGAAGGCTAGCGACTTGGCTTAACAGGTATATAGAGCCCTAGCTACTTGTTCAGAGTTCAGTTCCCAGCACTTTCATAAACCCGCTCATGATGAACTGTGGTGCAGGAGAATTATCTGTATTTTGTCAATCATGTTTTAAATAAATGTTGATTGGCCAGGCAGGAAGTATAGGCAGGTCACCCAGACAGGAAGTAGAGGTGGGATAATTAGAATAGGAGAATGCTGGGAAGGAGGAAGCCCATTCCTCTGCAGTCCAGCCCAGACCACCGAAGAAACAACATTTGTCCTGCCTGGCTGAGAAAGGTACTGAGCCACGTGGCTAACATAGATAAGAATAATGGGTTAATATTAGTTACAAGAGCTAATAAGAACACTGAGCTAATGGGTCAATCAGTTTATAAACTATGTAGACCTCTGTGTGATTTTCTTTGGGACTTGCCGGCTGTGGGGTACCGGGCGGGACAGAAACCCCACAAGCAGGCCCCTCATGTTACAGAACTGTGGCTCCAGCTCCAAGGATTCCATGACTCTTTGAGCATAAACATAAACAAAATGAAAATAATAAAATTAAATAAGTGTTTAATAAATAAAATCCTGGAATGAGATTTACAACCCTGTGTGTCTTATTTATTTATTTATTTATTAAAGATTTCTGTGTGTCTGAATGAATGACTGGGAAGCCCCACAGCTCTACACAGCCCAAGACCACAGATTACCCTGTGAGCTGAGATCGCTCCCGAGGTCGGGACAGGGAAGCATGAGCTGCCTGTGCCCAACTCAGACATGGGGCTTTCCAAGGAAGAGCGTGAGTCTTCTTGTGCCTCATGTTTCAGGGCACACTGATTCTTTCCATTGAGCGCAGTGATCACACATACCAGCTGAAGAACCCACAGGGAATGAACTGTTTTCCCTTTACACACCAGGTTCAAGGTAGGCGTCCCCTTCTGAGAGCGAACATCAAGTAGAAATCCTTAGGGCACACTAGCCTAAACACCTACTTTCTTGTATACACAAATGTACAGTCCATACAACTTGGTACGCTATTTAAAATAATTTATTGTTTGGTTAATAAAAGTTCATTCTGCTGTTGCTCATGCTGTTAAAATATCAAAGCGCTTCAGTCAGAGACAACCATGTAGAATTAGAAGTCAGTTATAGATGCCCTTCTGGTTCTTCCCTGAATTAGTTAGGTCTCCATGGTGGCCTCCACAGACCACACTGGCTCATGGACTTCCCAGGTGTTCCTTCTTCCCAGTGGGATGAAAAGGAAGGTGGCACAGCTCTGCCATCAAGAACAGCTGCTTCTTTAAAGTCCTTCTTAGGAGGGCAGCTCTCATCTGCACGAGGACTCTGACAGCTGTCTGTAAACAGGGGTGCGCACTGGTGGACTGGCCTGCAGACATTGCTTTGTGCCCTCTATAGGGCACAGTCAGCTGCCATTAGTTTGAAGGCAAAGGAAGAAACTTTAGGGATCTGAAAAGAAATCAAACAAGATAATGTCAATGGAGAGGATGAAATGGTTGTGAACATCAGCTTACCTAAAAAAAAAAAAAAACAAAAAAAAACAAAAAAAAAAACAAGGATGGAGCAAGGATGGACCAGGCATGGTGTCACACACATTTAATCCCAGCACTTTGAGGGCAGAGGCAGGTGGATCAGAGGCAGCCTGGTCTACACAGGCCAGCCAGGACTACACAGAAAGACTCTGAAAACCACCGGGTGGTGGTGGCGAACGCCTTTAATCCCAGCACTCAGGAGGCAGAGGCAGGTGAATCTCTGTGAGTTCGAGGCCAGCCTGGTCTACAAAAGCTAGTTCCAGGACAGGATCCATAGCTACAGAGAAACCCTGCCTTGAAGAACCGAAAAAAAAAAGACTCCCAAAAACAACCAAAAACTAAACCCACGGCCTGTGAGAAGGCTCTGTGGGTAAAGTGGGGAAAGGAGCTTTCTACCAGCCCAGAGGGCATGAGCTCAATCCCCAGAACCCACAAGGTAGAAGGCAAGAACTGACTCCTATACATTGTTCCCTGACCTGGACACGTGTGCCATGTTACCTGTGCATCCATACCATGCACACACATACAAAATAAAACTGTAAAAATGCCCAGCATTTACAAACAGTGGTGATGCACATCTTTAATCCCAGCCCTCCAGGAGCAGAGGAAAGTGAATCTCTGTGAGTTCAAGGCCTGCTTGGTCTACAGTGCTAGTTCTAGTACAGCCAAGGCTACACAAAAAACACTTTTTTGGATAAAAAAGAGAAACAATAAGGTACAGAAATGAATCTTAATATATTATGGTAGGTAGAAAAAACTCTATACTGGCTGGGTGTGGAAGTACATACCAGAAATGTTAGTACAAAGACAGCCGAGGCAGGAGGACTTCAAGTTTGAAGCTAGTCTGGGCTATATATCAAGACCCTGTCCCCAAAATGTTAAATATCTACATAGTCTTTGGAAAGTCCATGAACGCATGAATGTAAGTAGAGATTGAAAGATGGACACACTGACAGATGTATGTATAGATGGATGGAATGACACACTGGTGGATGTATAGATGGAGGGATGGACACACTGATGGATGAATGTATAGATGGAAGGATGGACACACTGACAGATGTATGTATAGATGAGGGATGGACACACTGGTGGATGGATGTATAAATGGAAGGATGGACACACTGATGGATGGATGTATAGATGGAAGGATGGACACACTGAAAGATGTATGTATAGATGAGGAATGGACACACTGATGGATGGATGTATAGATGGAAGGATGGACACACTGATGGATGTATGTATAGATGAGGAATGGACACACTGATGGATGGATGTATAGATGGAAGGATGGACACACTGATGGATGTATGTATAGATGAGGAATGGACACACTGATGGATGTATGTATAGATGAGGAATGGACACACTGATGGATGGATGTATAGATGGAAGGATGGACACACTGATGGATGGATGTATAGATGAGGAATGGACACACTGATGGATGGATGTATAGATGAAG